CATTTATAAGATTTTTAAACAAAATAAACAACTTGAATGATTTATTTTCACACAAAATATGTTGCTCCATTAATATTCAATGCAACATATATATTTTTTCTGCAATTATACATATTAGTCGCAGTGAATAGCACATTTTTTCTTAAGGTGCACTGTAAAAAAAAATTCTGTAAAATTTACGGTAAAAAACAGCAGCTGTGGTTGCCGGATTTTTACCGTAAAAAAAATCTTTTCGGACATTACGGTATATTACCGTAAAATTAATGTCCAATACATGTAATGTCCAATACAGTTTTTCACCGTATATAGTAGGGGAATTTACCGTTAACCATTTAACAGGTTTTTACTGTAGCATTTTTACAGTCTTTTACCGTTAAATTCACGGTCATTTTTTACTGTGTGGGCCTTTAGCCCCGTTGTACCCTAATGTTCACATCAAAATAATGATAGCATTAATTTAGGTATACATACATGGTCTGATGGAAAGGCCATGTCTTCTAGAAGAATCTTATAGCGTTTTGGAGTCGGCTTGTAGAAGGAAAGCTGAGAGGTGCATAAAAAGGGGGAATATTTAAAAATCAACATGCAGAAAAAATATTTGCAAATGTTTGTTTTTTACCATCAGAAGATGCAGATTGACTGTCAGTCCATTCATCAGAGCCACTTCCTCAGGTTTAGCACCTATATAAAGATTCACACACTCATATACAAATACACACATCCATAAAAGCAGTCTGGCTAAATCAGGAGCTCCAGGGATTACATGTGGGGGTAAAGTCCTCTCTTTACCCTGTTTACCCTGTTAACTTCACACACTCTATCTACAGACAGACGTATGGCTTCTCTCTGTGTTTACATCCCATAGAAACAGAAATATGAAAAGCAAATGTTCCCCATGAACCTCATATATTCATTCACATTCTCATACTGGATGTGACTGTGACCGGTCAACCGGAAGTCAATAACAAACTCTTAGTTAAGAAGCTCTTAATTACCAACGATCTTTGCCATCAGCTCCTCCAGGGTCTCTTCGGCCCAGGCCCAAGGTCGCGACCCCTTCAGGTGGCCATGGACTCCACTGGAAACAACATGTGATTACGGGTCACTGCAGTATTATGGGATTTCCTTCAAAGCATTTCTGTTATTTTATCTAACTACTTTTAACAGTGTTTGTCACTACAAAAAAAAATAGTAATTTTAATGGAAAAAGAAAAACATGTTTCAGTAAAGAACCTGTTTACCAGTTACCTTAATTTTTATTTTATTTTTTGGCAGTGAAATTTATTTTTGGATAAAATAAAATAAAATAAAATAAAATAAAATAAAATAAAATAAAATAAAATAAAATGTAAAAATTTATATTTTATTTAACAAGATAATAAATATAGAAAACAAGCTTCTACTAATCAAAATGTATGGAAAAATACTGATACCAAAATGCCATCCTAAAGCCTGAAATATAAATAGAAAATGAAACATATAATAAATAATGGAATTTAAATTCAAATTACATTATGATTTAGGAAAAAAAGTGTTTTATTTTACAAAACAAATATAGAAATATAGAAAAGCAAAATAAAAGAAGAAAAATACAGTCACTAAAATGACATCCAAAAGCCTGAAACATTTTATTTGATATTGATGTTATATTTTTCTGAAACTGATTCAGCATTTGATAAATCAAGACAGATGACTCACATTGTGGCCCATTTCTCCAGCTCCTCTTTGATGTATTTTGTGATATATGTCGGGTCATAAAGCGTCACTCACACGGCGGCAGGTCAGATATTTTGGGCATGAGGAACTCCTGGCGCAGCTTCTGCAGCTCATCGTGTCGGTCCAGATGTTCTGCCAGCCTGCGGGACGTGGGACTACAGTTCAGCTCCTGCGAGACCCTCGTGATCGTCTGCTGCACGCTCTCCATCATCAGCACTGGATTCAGAGCAATCACGCTTCACAAATCTCTTATATACGTCCAGAAGTTAAAACCACTGCTGTAGAGACAAACTTTTAGCTCTGCACTTTGACCCCGTGAGCAAACACATCAGACCTGAGCTAATGATTTCTAGAGGTCTGCATCATTTCCTGATTTTTAACTCATATACAACATGCTATAGCCCAATATAAAACAAATAAATTACACAAAGTTTAAATACAGTATATAGGGAGAGCCTAGGGATGGTTGTACACTTCCAGTTTCTCAAATAAGGAACAAGTAAGAAATCTCCTAATTCACTTCACACACTCTCAGTTGAGTCCTTATTCCTCATGTGAGGAAGTAGAGCCCCGTGGCAAACACAGCAGCTTAGAAAAACTAAATTTGAGGTAAGAAAGTAACTTTTTATACTTCATTTATTTTTGTGATGGCAGTCCTTGCTTTGTAGTTGAACTCATCAAAGTTAAATTATGTTTATTGTGAGTCTGTGTAGATATTTGTCATGCAAGTTGTTTGTGCTATTAATGTTTTGGCTGTTAGCTGTTAGGTGAGCTAGTTCATGGCTACAAGACTCTGGGTTAGTTGTAACAGCAAGACAACTAACTCAGTTGTAACAACTAACTCAGATGCCTATGTCTTGGAAGAGAAAGACAAACCAAGGGGTGTACTCTCAATGTTCAAGTGTTCAAGTTAAATTTTATTATGGCCAATTACTGTGAGTGACATTAACAAACATGCACACACACACACACACACACACATCACCAATTATGTTGAAAAGTCAGTGTTGAATAAAAAGCTTTCAAAATCCATTTTTGTCATAATCATTATTGCATAATGTTAAATCTCACCCCAGGGTATGTTACAGCTAACTCAGACTATGGGGTGAATTGTAACATTTCACTCCTCGTGTTTGAAACTAAACCGTGCATTTTCTGTTTGTGCTGCAAAGATAACAGCTGCATCATTTAATAGCAGACACTTGTGACTAGTTTGAATCACATTTTGAACACACTGGCTTAAAAGAATTCCAAGATACAGACAAAAATGTTAAAAATGTTACAACCATCCATTGTGTCCCCTAAAAATCAGCAAACACTGTGGAACCAAATAAATAAGAAACAAATGTTAAAAAGGAACTTACAAAATCACCGTAGATAAATGGTCTCTAACTGAACTAAATGATTTTTATTACTATAAAAAATCAAAACAAAGCGGTAACACCATCAACACAGACTACCACAGCAAGCCAAATCCTCTACAATGAAACAGCTCACAGAAATCAAAACTACTGACGACAGAAGAAACCCAACGTTTGACTGCAAAAACCACTGAAACAACAATCAGCATCAAGATTTTAGGTGAGGGAAATTGTACATCAGATTTTAATAATGTAATCATTTGTTGTCTTCACTGGTTCATTTTAAATGGGCCTGCAGTGTGACAATTGAAACTGGAAATGTGCACGTAATTAATCTGCAATTACTATGAGCTCAGTGATGATTAGAGACGGAGTATAACACGTCACCACAGCACATCAATGAACAGCAGCAGATTCCTGTTTCTGGACAAAAATCTCCATTAGCTGAATCAAAACTTTTATTTCATTGTGTAGATTCCCAAACAACATTCTGAACATCTGTTTGTATGAAAATAAGCTCTTTAAAGATGTGTGGACGGTCGAACAGTGCTGTGATAATGTCATGTTTCTTTGGGCCACTGAGACGAAATCAGTCTATTCATGATGGTATCTCAAAGATAACAGCCATATTGATTCGGTCAGTGAGTGTGATTGGCTCAGCCTCGCCGCTCTGCTCTGCTCCTATTGGCTGGAGTTTCTGGATCCGCCTCCTGGGTTTATAATGAGGGGCGGCAGGTGAACGAGACACACAGCTGCAGCTCCACCAACTCAACAGGATGGTGAGTGACATCACTTCCTTTCACTGGCTCTGTATTCTATCCTGTTCTTTTCTATTCTATTCTTTTCTATTTGTGTTGCTCAGAGCGTTTGTGATGTTGTGTTGAATCAACAGCATGAACTGATGCTATCACAGTTTCCTCTGGAGAATCTCACTGCAGCAACACTGTGATTGCAAAATGAAATGTGAAATGAATTTAATTATTATTCAGTTGAATTGTTATAGCATTAAGAAATAACATGAAATAATTCAATAATTTTAAAGACTTAATATGACTAATTATTGACCATCATATTTTAATTTCATGATTTCAAGGCATGAAAAATAGCCACAAAATACTTTTCTCCAAGCCGTACAGCTGAATCTCTCTACAAACGACTACGCTCTAAAAAATGCTGGGTTGTTTCAACCCAACTTTGGCTCAAATTAGGACTAACCCAACTTTTGGGTTAAAAATTTAATGTAAAAATTTAACCCAACGGTTGGGTTAGTCCATATTTGACCCAAAGCTGGGTTGAAACAACCCAGCATTTTTTAGTGTACACATATAATAAAGCCATCTAAACTATAAAGGAACATCTGGAAATGTGACACAAATCAAACTGATATTTGATTTTCTTCAAAGTCTCCAGCATTCGCCTCACTCCGTATCCATCAATCAGTCAGAATAACGTGTTGTTTCAGGGTCTGAATGTTGGATTAAATGGATCAGTGTTTGCTTGCTGGGTCTTCCTGTTCACCTCTTTATGACTTTATTATCAGAGGTTTATCATTAACGTTGGGTTCGGCCGCTCAGATAACACATTCTGACCAACAACTGTTCCTCTTATCGACAGAATCGCAGGTTAAACAGTAATTTGACATATACATCATCAATGAAGAATAAAGAGCATGTGAACCTCTCACAACTGTGTCCATGTCTTATCTTATCAATTCTATTGTGATTTCAAACCCACCTGAGAGTGATGTCTTGAATCGTTCATGGTGTTTCCCTCCATCTCTCTCAGGTGTTCACTATAAACGACATGAGCTTTAAGGCCGGGATGGAGATGAAGGTCACTGGAAAGACTAAACCATGCTGTGAAGCGTGCGTACATCTGCTTTTCAACCTTAAAGATACAAGGATTTTAGTGACTGTTCACCGTTCACACTTAGTGCTGTTCAGTCTGTTTTAAATCTGTGAAGCGTGCGTACATCTGCTTTTCAACCTTAAAGATACAAGGATTTTAGTGACTGTTCACCGTTCACACTTAGTGCTGTTCAGTCTGTTTTAAATCTGTTTGTGTGGAACATAAAACACCACAAATCAGCCACGAAATCAGTCAGAATGCTAACTATACAGACAAAAGCAGTTCAGCTCGCCAGGTTTTGTTCAGTTTTTAAATATACTGTGTGTCTGTGTGTGTGTGTGCGCGTGTGTGTGCGTGTGTGTGTGCATGTGTTTGCGTGTGTGAGCGTGTGTGTGCGTGTGTGTGTGTGAGCGTGTGTGTGAGCGTGTGTGAGAGTGTGTGTGTGTGTGCGTGTGTGAGCGTGTGTGTGCGTGTGTGTGTGTGAGCGTGTGTGTGAGCGTGTGTGAGAGTGTGTGTGTGTGTGCGTGTGTGAGCGTGTGTGTGCGTGTGTGTGTGTGAGCGTGTGTGTGAGCGTGTGTGAGAGTGTGTGTGTGTGTGCGTGTGTGAGCGTGTGTGTGCGTGTGTGTGTGTGAGCGTGTGTGTGAGCGTGTGTGAGAGTGTGTGTGTGTGTGCGTGTGTGAGCGTGTGTGTGCGTGTGTGTGTGTGAGCGTGTGTGTGAGCGTGTGTGAGAGTGTGTGTGTGTGTGCGTGTGTGAGCGTGTGTGTGCGTGTGTGTGTGTGTGTGTGTGTGTGTGCATGTGTTTGCGTGTGTGAGCGTGTGTGTGCGTGTGTGTGTGTGAGCGTGTGTGTGAGCGTGTGTGAGAGTGTGTGTGTGTGCGTGTGTGAGTGTGTGTTTGCGTGTGTGTGCG